GCGGCGTAGTGCCAATTAGAGCGGAGGAGCGGCGGAGCCAACAGCCTCGTGAGCGAGGAGCGGAGATTGTAATTTATTTCAAAATTAGTTCAAATACAAGAACTTGTGACCATAGGGAGATATTAGGTGGAGCAAACACAGGAAAGCAGTGAGATTCAAATGGTGATCCAAGACCACTTCTGCTCAAACTTCAGCTTGAAAAACTGGACACAAGAGAATGATTTAAGTTTCTTACACAATGTCCACTGATTGTCTGAAGAGATTAATCCTATGTGTTTTATTAAAGTCAAATCACTCTCTCTCCAGCTATCTGTATAATCCTTGTGTACAGACTGGCATTTATTGCCAATTTGTTATACAACAGCACCTTGCACCACCGTGAGATCCGAATCTACTGTATATCAATTATTTGATTCATATATAACTCATATATATAATTGAGAGCGACATACCTGTACCACTCCCAAGGGATATAACATCAAAGGTACTCTTGCCCTTCCCAGCCCTGCAGAAGACAACGATTTTTATAATTGTTAGATTCTGCCCTTCTTCATATATATTTATTATTACAATCATTGTTAATTATCAATTATATTTATTTCCAGTATTTGCTTGTTCAACTTTTACTTCCTTTCCCTAAAATATTTGATATATTACAATGGTGTGCAATTCAAATTTACGGGTCGCATCTTAACTCTTACCTCGCGAGGATGTCAGGAAGACTCTCACGAATGAATCTATGCACAGTTTGATGCTCCGTCGACATCTCAAGGTAAACCCGGAAGGTCTTGTGGTACCTTTCGTAGTCTAATGCAAGACACTTCATAGACGAAGTCATTTCAGACTGCTGCTAAAAAACATATGAGAAGTACACAGATTTGACATACTACGCAGGCTAAATTAATTCATCATCAGTCCTGTAATATGAAGAACAAACATACCACATAGAAAGAGATGCTTTGTCAACAGAATTGATTAACTTTATCACATGTAATTTATTTAGGAGTTTATTTTGGAATTTAATTTTATGATTGGGTGGTAGGGCTATTAACTCGGGACACCTTACTTCTCAGCGTGAGAAATACAAGGTGTGGCGTGTGAGTGTGTAAACTGGTTGACATGTGTGTGTCTGAGACTTGAGAACTAAGTACATCTGTGTGACACACACTCACACACACACCCATTACCTGGTTGACATGCTCAGTGTCCAGTTTTTTTTAAATACTTCGATTTTTTATGACCAATAAAATAAATGAAGAAGGGGTCTCAAAAATTACTTACTGCTGGCATTAGGCATTGATTTCCCATTTGTTTTTGCTTAAACATCATAGTGCTATAACAAAGAACTAAATGCCTAATTAAAATGTAAGTCCACTGACTGTTTAACAGAGGAGAAATACTCAGATGCCACCCGAGGATTCCCACTATTGGTGGCAGAACTGATCCTGGTGCAGCATCAGGTTTGAAAAAAAAAGCTATTATTTAATCACACATTTACGAAGCATGATTCATGGGATCATTAGTAACCCTTTACTTGATAGTTTACAAATAGTTTACTGAAATACAAATCATGAACAAATCATGAACTACAGTCACTACTTGAAAAAACATGCGTAAAAATGAATTGAACAAACATGAGATCAGTATTTCACTTTTTATTCATTACTTGTTACTTAAGTAGTTCCTTCAGTAGTTAACAGAACTAACAGATATAGTAACAATTATAGTAACTGCTTGGGATGAAAGATACATCATTATTCATTAATGATTAACAACTACGAAATCGGTATTTAGTGTTATTCAGGACTTGTTCCTTCAGTAGTTCTTTCAGTAATTCACAAATGATAACAGAATTAACAAATCTATATAGTAACTGCTTGAGATAAAACATGCGTCACGATTCTTTAATGATGAATTATCATTAGAACAGTATGTAACTAAGACTTAGTCTCTGGTTAATTAATACAAAAGTAATAGCTATACTACTATTGGTCGATACTACTATACTACTATATTATTTGTGCCCCGTCAAGTAAAGTATTACCAGATAATTCAGTATGTCATTATTGTATGCTATTATTACAATCGTGGATTCATTAAACAGTAAATATTCACTTACTTGGACGAGTTTCACAAACTTGCGATATTGAACTACAGACGCCTCTCTGCTAATGAAAAGACTCAAGTGTGGGTTTTAAGAAATATTGAGCAAAAATTATAACCCCTCCCACTTTATTTTATAGAAAGGCGTCGTCTCTTCACAGCAGGGCCGTTGCAGACAGAAAGCTGACTGGCACGGGCACTCCCCCCTCATTACTCAAGTCACATTTTTTTCTTGAATGCCTGTTGGCTGCATGAGATGTGCTATACAATGAGCTATTTGGTCTTCCCTTGATTAGCCGATTATTCCTGCCACTGCCATACTGATGTCAATACATAGGAGTCAATAATAATTGAATCAAATCGAAATAGAAAGATCATCGGGATTACTTGCAAGGTTGCTTACGTTAGTCTTGTTGTGTTATTTCTCAATCCCGATTCTTGTTTCGCGCGCTGATACACGGATTGCTACGTGCGCGCCGTGGTGCACCGGCTACGACATGCCGTGCACGGACTGTAAAGTGTTAATTATTAGTTTCTAACTATTGAAGATCAGGGTCTAAGTCAAGTTTACCTGGGGCCTGACCTTGTTATAGCTATAGTTAGTCTATAGCTATAGCCCCGAGTGATCTGACCGAAATGAACACACTATCAAATATAAGAGCTGGTCTAGCAGCCTCCATGCTTTCAAGACTTAAGATTCGATTATTTTATTGTCATTTTATATGATGGTTTAAAGAGACTGGGAGCAACGACAGTACAGGCAGACGCTCCTAATTTATGGCCACATTCATCAACATAGAAGAGAATAGTCCTAGCCGATGTGGCAAATTGAAAATGGCTGGCGAGTCGGCTACACTGTTTCGTTCTGGCGTCTGGGTGGCTTCCAGAAAGCTTCGTAACGCTAAGTAGTTCGTTATCTGGTCAGTAGATTTAAGAGTGGGCCGACATACTCGTTATTATCTACGTTGTTCTTTTTTTATTATTATTTTTGCTTGCTGCCCTGTCACAGAGACACTGAGATCGGCTGAAATAGATGACAAAAACTCATTGACGGTGCATTTTGGCCAACGTAATAATGCTGATAATATAATAAGAGATCAATGTTACAATATAAAACTATAATGTCAATTATAAATGAGTTCAAATGGGGCTCATCGTTGTAACACCTGTGTGCCATGAGTACATAATAGGGATGTGCCCCACTCAGAACTAGTGGTGGGCGGATCGGTCCAAGTATCGATAATATCGATAATAATGTTGGTATTGATATTGATCAATACCAGTTTAATGAGATCGATACTAAGGTTTCTGTTTCTCTCCTGAATGCACTGCAGCTGTCCATGTAAGCGCCGCTCCCGGCTGTTACGTGACTCAGCGGCGCCTGTCAAGCAAACAGGCTCACTTGCGCGCGTACACACACAGTAGCCTATAATATTTATATTATAGTATTGTAATAGTGGGTCGCTGGGCCATGCTCTCAATAATAAAACAACAGAGCACATTTACAATTACACAAGCGATTACTGAGAACTATTTACAAGCTGGCATCAGTCCAACATGCCGCGCTGCCCTCCGGTACCTCCGCGCTACAGTATTTATATTTACTCATAAACTTTGCCCAAATTCTGTCCTGGGTTTTTAACAAATTAATTTAAAACAATCACAAAAACAATTAAAGGTAATGAAAATAAATTCAGCTTTAGCAATTTGATGACGCATCCACCTTAATTTTTTAAAAAGTACCGGTATGGTATCGGCGATACTTGCCCTACTGTATATTGCCTTGTAGTATCGCACAGCACTACTCAGAACTGACTTGAGAATGATCTTGAAAACCAAATTCAATTAATAAATCGGTTGAAAACAAGGTGCAGAATCACAATTCGACTTTGAATATAAGGAAGCATAATTAAACTGGAATTGATTTCACATAAATTCATAAGAACATAAGAAATTTACAAACGAGAGGAGGCCATTCGGCCCATCAAGCTCGTTTGGGGAGAACTTAGCTAATAGCTGAGTTGTTAAAATCTTATCTAGCTCTGATTTAAAGGAACCCATGGTTTTAGCTTCCACTACACTAGCAGGAAGACTATTCCATACTCTGACTACACGCTGTGTAAAGAAGTGCTTCCTCAAATTTGTTTTAAAATGTTCTCCCGCTAATTTCCACTTATGGCCACGAGTTCTAGTATTTAGACTAATATTGAAATATTAATAGAGTCCTCATCTTCCTCAGAGCCTGTAGAGATGCAATGACTATTTCGCCAGAAAGGCAAAGGTCAACAGAAGGAGCCTGTAAAATAGCATTTGCAGGCTTCAAGGCGCCAAGCACTTTCAGAAGGAATCTGCCTCTTTCAAAGAAATTGTGTTTTCTCTGCATCATCAACAAACCTAATGCCTCTGTGCAAATACTCACATCTGCTACACTGTCCTCTGAAATCTCTGAAAGGATACTAAGTATAGCATCTTGATTTTCCACAAGACACTTTGTCACATCGTGGTGACTTGTCCACCGCATCTCCAGCAGGTATTTAAGGGAGGGGACTTGATAGTTTTGTGACACGTAATGATGATTAGTGATCTTGATAGCTCAAAAAATGTTTTTGCACATAGCTCTGCCTTCATTGCATGAACCACTGCTAAGTGCAGCTGGTGAATATAGCAGTGGATATAGGGAATATATTTACTTATCTTCTTTTGCAACAAGGCCTGGACCTCACCCCTGATCCCACTCATAACTGAGGCCCCATCGTAGCACTGACTAATAATTTGGTCTCTACTGTAACCTGAGTCAGAAATAATAAAGTAATAATGTATTGCTTCCTTTTCCTATTGCTGCTCGCAACTGCGCTTTTTTTTAGCAAATAGGTTAATTTTTTTGGTCATAATTTTGGTTGCTTTGGTGTCTTTTTATGATTTTTTTTTCCATCTCCATATGTCCGGTGTTTCACCATTTAAATAGGCCGGATGGATCGTTTTTCCTGTTATCGACAGTCTGAGATTTTCTCACGCGGGGGCTGGGGATGAGCCAACAAAGTACTACTTAAAGTGTCATGTTTTAAGCACCCGGAGCGCAGACAAACGAGCAGGAAGCCAGGGATCGGGAACACGGGGTTTAATCCAAGGAAAAGGCAGACAATGACACATCGACAGTACAAGACCGGACTAGGGAAACGAACGGAAAACGCGGACTAAATACAATGAACTAATGACAACAATTAGAAACAGCCTTAAAACACTGGGAATCTACACAGGGTTAACGAGGGGGCGTGGCACACAGGAGGAGCGGACAATCGGGGCATAATATAAAGTACATTTGTTGAATCTGGAAAAACAAAGTGTTTTGGAAAACGCATGTAGACTCACTCGTTCTTTACTTACGTAATTTTTTTACCTTGTTTGTTATTGATCGAAGATCAATCGCTTTCGGGAAAGCCTCCCCTGATCATTGATTTTATGAACTGCACATTTCTAACCCTTTCAGTTCTGTACATTACACACCAACTAAGAAACTGTTATGCTAAGGAATTCCCCATGTACGATACTGTGCTAAAGTCTTAGGCAGTCAAAATAATTTTTAGTGCTATTTATCTGGGTAGTAAGTGCACATTTGCACTGAACAAAAAACACAATTTAACATTAGAACATATGCAAATTATGAGTAGCACAATAAAAACTAGTAAAAATTTCTATGATTTTCAAAAAAGGTATCTACTTTTACAGCTTCAGTTCCCTGGGAGGCACCCCAGCCATTCAATGTCCATCCATCCATCCATCCCCTACCGCTTGTCCGGGTCGGGTTGCGGGGGCAGCAGTCTCAGCAGGGAAACCCAGACTTCCCTCTCCCCGGCCACTTCATCCAGCTCCACCGGGGGAATCCCGAAGCGTTCCCAGGCCAGCCGAGAGATATAGTCTCTCCAGCGTGTCCTGGGTCTTCCCCGGGGCCTCCTCCCAGTGGGACATGCCTGGAACACCTCACCAGGGAGGCGTTCAGGAAGCATCCTTAGCAGATGCCTGAGCCACCTCATCTGGCTTCTCTCGATGCGGAGGAGCAACAGCTCTACTCTGAGTTTCTCCCGAATGACCGAGCTTCTCACCCTATCTCTAAGGGAGAGCCCAGCCACCCTGCGGAGGAAACTCATTTTGGCCGCTTGCACTCGCGATCTCGTTCTTTCGGTCACTACCCACAGCTCGTGACCATAGGTGAGGGTAGGAATGTAGATCGACTGGTAAATCGAGAGCTTCACCTTTTGGCTCAGCTCCTTCTTCACCACGACAGACCGATGCAACACCTGCATTACTGCTGACACTGCACCGATCCGCCTGTCGATCTCACGTTCCATCCTTCCCTTACTAGTGAACAAGACCCCGAGATTTTTAAACTCCTCCACTTGGGGAAGGACCCCCTCCCTGGCCCGTAGAGAGCATTCCACCCTTTTCCGGCTGAGGACCATAGTCTCGGATTTGGAGGTGCTGATTCTCATCCCAGCTGCTTCACACTCAGCTGCGAACTGTTCCAGTGAGAGCCGAAGGTCACGGTCTGATGAGGCCAACAGAACCACATCATCTGCAAAAAGCAGAAACCTAATCCTAAGGTCACCAAACCAAACACCCTCAGCTCCCTGGCTGTGCCTAGAAATTCTGTCCATAAAAGTTATGAACAGAGTCGGTGACAAAGGGCAGCCCTGACAGAGGCCAACCCTCACCGGAAATGAGTCCGACTTATTGCCGACAATGCGGACCAAGCTCTGACACCGGTCATACAGGGACCGAACAGCCCTTATAAGGAGGCCCAAGTCCACAAAACACATGTAAACTGGTTGGGCAAACTCCCACGCATCCTCTAGGACCCTGCCGAGAGTATAGAGCTGGTCCACTGTTCCACGGCCAGGGCTAAAACCACACTGCTCCTCCTGAATCCGAGGTTCGACAATCCGACGGACCCTCCTCTCCAGGACCCCCGAATAGACCTTACCAGGGAGGCTGAGGAGTGTGATCCCCCTATAGTTGGAACACACCCTCTGGTCCCCCTTCTAAAAGAGGAGGACCACCACCCCGGTCTGCCAGTCCAGAGGCACCGCCTCCGATGTCCACGCGATGCTGCAGATGCATGTCAACCAGGACAGCGCTGCAACATCCAGAGCCTTGAGGAACTCCGGGTGGATCTCA